TATATTATTACCCTGAAATACCCCAGTACCACAAAATATTGGTCCTATATGGGGCGCGTCGACGCCCAATATTTTATCAGGAGCCAATATTGAATTTATTTAGCCGATGTTTTGGCAATGTTTTTCCAAGGTTAATCCTATATTGGCATATCATTGAAAATGTTTGCCCTAAGTTAATCTAATATTAGCCCTATATTATCGTAAAATGATTTTCCAATATATTATTGCCAATGTTTGTCGAAGGTTGCCCTATATTGGCATAAAATGATAATTTAATATATAATTACCAATGTTTATACAAGGTTCGCCTTATATTAACGTAAAATGGTTAAAGCATATGTACACAGTAAAAAATTTTACCCGTGTAAATTTTTTAGTGTAGGGGTAAAAATATTAGAGTTGATTTGTGTAAAAGTTACACTACAAAATACACTAGGTAGCATTTAGTGTTTATTAAAATAAATCAAAAGGGTAGAAAAACTTATTGCGAGTGTTTATTACCCCTTAATGTGTTAAATAGTGACAAAATGTACACTACAGTGCATGCCAATTTCTTTGTCTGTTTTGATGTTACTAAGAGAACTTTTTTATTACACTACTAGTGCACATTGTATCACAATTAAAGTTAAATTACTTCAATAGTGGCAAAATAGACTGAAAACACTGGTAATAACCGAAATGCGTTTTAAAATGTTTGGTTGGTAGTACCAACTTGGTACCTATCTACCTTCGCAGTGCATATCCGGAGATACCGCGTTGTGGAAGTGTGGCATTTTTGTTCAGTTAGATTTAATTACGGGGAATCCATAAGAGGACATTCTTATTTTTTTGGTAAGTATTATACTTCCTTTTTCTTTAAGCCTTAATACTCAATAAATACCAATATGTTAAAAGGATGTCCATACCCGAGCTACATTTTATATCAATAATTTACGGCAGTAGGTCGGGTACTTGTAACATTAATAATATAAATACATACACACTTTATTTACTTTTTATTTTCAAGCGTCTACCAATGGGATCACCCATTTTTTATAACAGAAAAATGGATTACTGATGAATTCTCAAGATAATTCATTGCTTACAAGTTTACAGTCAGTAAAACATTGCATTGATCTAAAACTTTTACGTTTTAAGAAACCATTTTGCTTAAGCCAGCCATACGACTCAAATATAAAATTATATTTTAAAAGGCACCGATTTTAATTGTCTTAGATTTTTGTTCCAAATAAATGTTTCTCTTTATTTACCTTTTCGTTTTATTCATATACCACCAATAGGTTTTACTCAAATAATAGTGTTAATTAACACTAGAAGTTTGCACTAAAAGAGTAAAAGTACTTTTCTAATATTATACCTTTTCCAAAGTAGTGTTAATTTACACCGAACAAAAGTGGGTTTTTACCCAGGAAGTGTAGAAGTAGATTTTAGGTAAATTAACACTTTTTAATACAGTGTAAAATTACTTTATTCTCAGTGCTATAGTGTTAGATCATACTTGCTTACTTGGGGAAAATTACACTACAAATTAACTCTAATTGTAGTGTTATAAAACAACACTATTTAGTGTGGACCTGTGTGAACTCTAATTAGTGTTGCTTAGAGTTGATTTTTTTTACTGTGTAGTGGCAACAATATGAGATTATGCAACATGGCAATATACCTCCAAGGTTGGTCATTGCATATCGTATTTAAATTTTTATTTTGAGTTTAGAACAATTTTAAAACTTAAGTTTATAAACCGAAAGCAATATTGATATAGTATCGTATTCATCGTTGACTATATAGTCAACGATGCTTTCGGATATCTAAAAGTGATACGTAACGACACACGTTTGTTTCCAGGATATGTCTATACTAGTGGCGCAGAAAGGCATTTAAGTTGGGGGGTGGAGCAACCGACAGTCGTTTACCGACCACTATCCTTATTGTTTAGCACTAAATGGGTGAAAATAATAAAGACCATTCTTTCATATAACCGTAAGAATAACAAGGGTAATATGCGATTTCTTGTCTTATTAGCAATAAAATTCGTTATTACGTTAATAAAGCTAAAGCTGATCATTTTATCACACAATACAAACGATTTTAGCATTTCATCTTAATTAAGAAAAACATAGACTACACGACTTCGTGCCTTATAGGTAGATTTTTTTTAAATTTTGAGGGTACATTTTACATCAAGTAACCCCCCTCTCCTACTGGTCATTTGGGTGGGCATTGTCACCCCGCCCCCGCTTCTACGCCCCTAAGTACTATAAACATTTCCTGAAAACAAACGTGTGTCGACACTATCGTGACATATCACTTTTAGAAATCCTACTAGTAGTAAGTACTAGGTGGCTATATTTTTTTCTTTTAATTTTTTCCTCAACTTTAGTAGAATATAATGTAAAAAAACTTCGGGCCAATGCAGATTTCCAATATCGGTTATATAATGTCAAACAACTTCGGGCCAATGTTGGGTTTCAATATTGGACCATGCTAGAAAATATCTGACGAAAGATATGTTGGCCCAATCATCAAACGAATATTGGGCTAATATCTTTGTGCTGCTGGGGTAATATCTTGGCCCGTAAAATTTCTTAAGTACGTTTATTAATTAAATTTTCTACGGCAACGGCCTTGATAATGATTAGTTTATAGGGTGGAATACTAATTAATTTGACCATTAATTATTCATATTTTCCAGTGCGTGAGGATTCAAATTTATGAATATTCAAGTATATTTTAAATAAAATCGTTGAGTGAAGATATCTCCAATCAACGATATGGATAGGTTTTAAATATACAGTACGTAATGAAAAATTTGTATCGTATTCGAACCATCAAACATGTATGAATTTTATAACCATGTCTTTGCTTTGTTTTCGAAATATCTTTATATGTAAAACACAATTTTAATAATATTTAAAAGGCGAAACTAGAAGTTATACTTCTTTTGGTTTAAACTGTTTCACACAGTAGTTTACAATTCAAAAATAGTGGAAAAAATTCGCACAGTATAATTAATTTTATTAATGGGAGGATAAATTCGCACAGTGGCAAATATTTAAAAAATGATAGGACAAATTCAGACGGTGGTATAAATCCTATTAAATAATGGTAGGACAAATGAGCTCAGTGGCATTAATTCAAACATTTATAAAACTTTAGATTGCGGCGTCCCTAAGTTGACTGAATTACGTTTCTATTTAATTAATTTTTTATGTGTTGCAATTGCAATTGGTCATGCTATTAATTAAATGTATATATCAGCCTATGTAAGAGTCCCTTAGTTCCTCGTTCCGCTTTTGTTTTAAACAGTGATCTTCTCCGTACACTGTAAAAAAAATCAACTCTAAGCAACACTAATTAGAGTTCACACAGGTCCACACTAAATAGTGTTGTATTATAACACTACAATTAGAGTTAATTTGTAGTGTAATTTTCCCCAAGTAAGCAAGTATAATTTAACACTATAGCACTGAGAATAAAGTAATTTTAAACTGTATTAAAAAGTGTTAATTTACCTAAAATCTACTTCTACACTTCCTCCACTTCTCTAGGATGGAATTTTCTAACTGGGTTTTAGATCGGCACATTATAAACTCCCATAATTTGCATTTATGGGCCAAATAAAATCCCCATGCTTCTATTGTAATGCATCATCAGCATCAATTTGAACCAATCAACGTTTGGGCCGGAATCATCGGGCAACATTTAATTGGACCATTTGTAATGCCAAGAAGGTTAACTGGAGACCTTTATTTGGAATTTCTCCAAATTAATTTGCCAGAGCTTTTAGACGATCTACCTCTAGCAGTACTACGTGATATGTGGTTCATGCATGATGGGGCCCCACCACATTTTATTCTACTAGTTCGAGAATACGTAAACAGGAACTTCAAAATGGAAATGATTAATTTTTATTGTCGCAAAATTTGGATTGTGAAGGGTCCAACAATCTTTAATTCTTAGAGCTATAGCTCCCTATAGGGAATGCATAAGAGTAGAAGGAGCTGATGTTGAACCGACATACAAAATTATTTAATAAAAACTGTATTGTACAAAAACATTTTTTTTTTCGTAAACAGTTTTTTTATGTTAAGGTTTAAGCTGATCAAAAATATTATTGTAGTGCCTTTATAGTACAGGGTGTTAAAAAAATAGCATTACCCTGGCAAACTTAATAAGCCGAATGTGATTTAAAGTGCCCATCTTAAGAAAACTTCCCTAGTTACCAACATATTAAAAAATTATTAAATTCCACCCACAATCCACAATGGATTGTGATTTCACCTAGTACTTTAAAAGTTATTTGAAAACAAACGATTTCCAGGGGCGTCCGTTATGGGCCCGTATCTCCGTAGGGGGGCCTTTGGAAAAAAAATTTATAGGAACTTAATTTTCTTTTCTTTTTCTTTAATATTTTAAGACTATTTATTTACCTTTATAAAATAATTAATTAAAAAAAAGTTATTTTTAAAATAATATAGAGAAGTGAGTTTTAAGTTCTTAAAATGTAATTTCTTTATTAGATCTAATAAAGAAATTACATTTTAAGAACTTAAAACTCACTTCTCAAAAAAATATATTTATTATTATATTATTTTATACCCCGTATAAACTTATTATCTATTTTAAATATAGAATATAATTTTTCTACTCCTATTATGGAATATGACCGTTCTAATATCACTTTTATCTATGGAATGACATATATTCCGTGAAGTGTTACAGAATGAAATATTCTATCATCTGATGATAGAATAAACACTCGTGGCAACATCTCTGTTTTTAATATCTAACAAATTTTAGACCGATCCAACCTCACTTTCTTCCAATTAAATTATTTGTCTATGGTATTTTTTGGAAACGTAGAAAAAGTATAGTCTGAAACACGTTTGGAATTGCATATTCCGAATATGCCGTATTCCAAACTTGTTACAGTATATACTATTAAATATTTTTTCAAGAAATAATATTTTAAAATACCAAAACAAGGTAACGACACTTACAATAAAAATTACCTCTTTGATGCAAGGGTGTATCATTCCATTTCTGGACAACATCATTTTGCACCTAAAAAATAAAATATGTTAAATTTTCTTATTTATAAATCCATTTTAAATGTTGAAAATATTTGATATAAAAGAATTAATTTATTTTACTATAGAAAATTTCTAAAGGATAATTAGTTTCGCCTTGGTATTCAAGGAAATAAAAGAACCATATCACCATTTATTTTAAAAAGAAACACAAAAACATGCATAAAAAGTCCCTCAATCATTGTCAAAAAAAAGAATAAAAGTACTACATTAACACCGTATAATTTATCCGCAGCAAATTTAAATAAACGGAAATTGTTTTGCTACCTGTCATTCGAATTTAAATTAAATGTAAATCATGTACTAAATATATCATTCAACATTTAAATTTTATGGTTTCGCTGAACAAATAGTTGAAATATTCTGAGCTTGCAATTTTACGAAGGAAGTTTCATTTTATGTTTTATTTCCGGTAAAATATAATTTCTTGCAGTAACAAATATGTTCCTTGTAACTTGAGTTTGCATATTTTAACTCTGCAATGCATCAAACGGATTCTGGCATAAGAAAGCTATATGTATTTATTTTTGTTTAGTTTTGTTTGAGTATATCCTCCTAAAAATATTAAATAAAAGGGTTTGTCGAATAAAAAAAAGATAAGGTTAGTGACGTCATACTAAATCTACTATGGCGGCCACCCCAAGATGACGGATTACCTATTTTTTCACAACCTCTTTACATTGATATTAAATAAAAGGGCTTGTCAAGCAGAATAAGTGACTTTATTCTAATTTCAGTATGGCGGATGCTTCAAGATGGCGGATTAAATTTCTTTACCACGCTCGTGACAGGTATTAAGTGAAAGTGTTTGACAAGCAAAATAACGTTATTGAGAATTCTTTACGGCAGTATCAGGGCCGGATTAAAGCATAGGCTGCAGTCTATGGGCCCGCGCCACAAAGGGTCCCGCGACCACTTTCCAGGTGAAAATAATTCTACGTCAATATTTAAAATCGGTTTTTTTCTCAAATTTTAGTGATCGTTATTATTTATCACTTGCATTTGGTTTAACTTAAAGTGGTGTTTGGGTATTTGACCAGCCTGATAAGGATATCTTTCACTGTAAGGGAAACCATTCTAAAAGTCCATTTGTTTTATGTTGATTCAAGCCAGGGCGCTGCAGCGTTTAAGACATAAATAATAACCAAATGGCTCAAGTTTTTTTACAATGAGTTAAAAAAATGACGACAAAAATGAAATAGTCCTTAGTCTGGAGAGGTGATTGTTTAAACTTATCTTAAAAACCTTGTTTCCCTAATATTTAGATTGCCTTAAGAATGTACCTGTCACTTATGATCACAAACAGCATGCAGGGGAGAAAGGTCATTTTCAAAATTAAAGTTGATCAAAAACAGGCTTTGCACCTTTATGTTGGAAGACACGCTTTAGCTTTACTTAGCATTAAAAGTGATATTTTAAGACAACAAAATTATGAAGAATATACGAGTTTATATACTCGTAGCTTCATTGGTACAAAATGTAGGCGTAAACTAATTATGCATTAAGATGATGTGACAACTAACATTTTCGTTAAAGTTTGATTGTTTGGAAAAGTTCTGTGTTTGAATTAAATAATACATTATGTTACATAATTTATATATGTTGCATAGGTAAATTAAATTTAGCTTGTTTATTATATTCCTTTTTTTATTTTGCATTTTGCAATTTTTAACATCTTTACTTTAATATTATATACTATTATATACTATAATATATTATTTTTCAAATGTTAATACTTATATTTGCATATCTAGTAACATAGACTTCAGTGGCGTAATTCGGGTTGGCAAGGGGTGGCAATTGCCCCCCCCCCCCAGAATTGTCTAACCCAGTATTTTGCCACCCCATTTTGAAGTAAAAATATCAATAATTTACAAACAATTGTAAAAGTCCTTGTTAGCTCCTTTGGCTATCGAAAGGAGTATTGATACGTATAAACATTTCCAAAGTAATTAAAGACTTTAATTGAAGCCAAAACAGAAGACTTCATTTTGTATATAAATAATCTGTGATAATATTGAGTAAAAGTTGAATAAAGCTTTGGTTTTGTATAATGTTTGCTTCATTTTTAATTACATGCTGAAAGATTAGGCAACACACTCAATCAATTAAAAATAGGCCTATAACCGTAAAATATTCACTTTTAATTACTTTAATTAATAGCCTAATCAATTTAAATGTATTATTAACACATAACTTGATAGTATACTCTCAAGTTGTGTGTTAATAATACATTCAAATTGTTTAAGCTATTAATTAAAGTAATTAAAAGTGAATATTTTACGGTTAGCAATTATTTAAAATAAAAATAGACTGATAAGATTAAAAAAATAACAAATTAATCCCAGTTTTTAAAATTTCCCGGGGGAGGACCCCCTTACACGTGGGGGCATTTCATACCCCCTCCCTCGTACCCCTTGCCACCCCAGTTAAAAAGCTGTAATTACGCCCATGATCTCAACTTTGTATTATTTTTTAATAATATGAATTGTTGAAAATATGTTTTTTTAATTTAATTTAAACAAAATATTTTCCCGGCAGGCCCGCGCAACATATTCATACTAGGGGCCCAAATATCCTAAATCCGGTCCTGGGTAGGGTTACTATAATTTATTATATGATGCGTAAAAAGTACAAAATAAAATAATAAAAAAACTTAAAAACCAACCTTTATTTAAGAAATGCACTAAACCGCATTAAATAGTTTTAGGTAGGAATAATGTTGAATTGTGTTTTCAAAAAGGTAGTTCTTCTTGTTCTTTATTTCCAAATTCGGTATTTTCAACCTTGGTGCTTGGAAACTAGTCCATGTGACCATATGCTTGTATCCGTATATAAGCCGTCTTCATCAAGCTACTTCCGCCATTTGACAATGTGGAAATTTCAATCTTGAAACATCCACTCAATCGCTTAAACAAATCACAAAATACCTCGCTAAAAGGTCAAAGCTTGCGATATTGTTTAAAAATACAGGTATATTTCTATACCGGGAATCCAATTTTGTACCCCACGGTTCGCAAAGTCAGCTATGTTTCAAACTTTTCATCGAGCGAGGCGTAGCACACGGCGTACAAAACCGAACTCAAAAAGGTGGTTGAAAACAAAGTTAAATAAAGGCTTGTTTTAAAAAAAGAGGATTATAACTTTGCAAATGTTTAAGAAAAAAAATGTTGGTAAAAAATTAATACAAATTTGATTGGTAGAAAAAATTGTAATCTTTATATTTGGTAACAATATAAATATTGTTTTACTATTTTGAGAACCATTATAATGTTTAAAACTATTGACATAGTGCGTGTCAATCAAAATTAATTTTTGCGTTATACAGTATTTATTTAAAACTAAAATTTAAATAATTTATAGCGAAAATAATTTACTATATACCTATCCCTTGCATCTGTCATAATATTATATTAAATAATACTTTATTTACATGATATAAATTGAGTTAAACAGATCCTAGATTTACTACTGTATAAAATAAAATGTTTATAAAAATCGTAGGTATAAATATATAATTTAATATATTTGTAATAATTTGTAATCTCGTAAAAATAAAAAAAATATTAAAAAGTTATTGTTACCTTTTTTGATATTCTAAGGAAGCCAGCTTGAAAAAGTGTTATTGGAAAGTCGGCAAGTTCAAGTACGCGCTTTTTTGATAATGCTGAATTCGAACACGAGCGATACAACTTTACTGAAAGCTCTAAAAAGCGGACCTGTAACGGTAAAATTACCACTCAGTTCGCTAGACATTGCATGCTACACCACCTTGCGCGCCCAATACGATGCACCATGAGGCAATAAAACAGTATACCTAGTTAAGTTTATTTTTAATTCTGACATATGAGTTCTAAAATAATACAAATTTAATTAAAAATATTTCTATAAACATCTTAATTCGAAAGTTAAAGGTAAAATAAGATAATTTCAATTTAAATAATATTAATTCGTATTTTTACTCATTTCTATAAACTTATAACTTATAAGCATATATGCTTAGTAACTAAAAAAGCACTACATATTTCTTTGTACTTAAAACGTACTCTGTACTAATTGTTTATTTCTCTATGGATTTTTTACCTATTTTTGCTAGTGTTTTGCTAAATTAGCACTGTTTAAGTTTAAAATATATTCAAGGGAAACATATTGTGCAATGAGCCTGGTTTAAAAAATTGAAATTATCTAAAAATATTTCCAAGATTATTTGGTAAAGAAATTTCCTTATAAATATTGGATATCGACTGTAATTTTGTTTTAGAATTTAATAAAATCAATTTAAGAAATATTACTTAAATGTACATTGTAGGCTACAATTTGTAGCCTAAACGAATTAAATGTTTTGTGTTTGTGTTTATGTTGGATTTAATAATATAAGCATAACATTAACAATGTTATGCTTATTAGAAATATAATAAGGATGTATCCTTATAAAGGGTGATCCACTTTGAGCTTGGCAATTTAGATGGCCATGAAAATCAAAACGTCAAAGTATTTGTCATTATCAAAGTAATATTTGTGGTCTAGAAAGACATACAAATTTGATTAGGCAGCAGTATACGACTGAACAACGCGTTAAAATTATCCAAACCTACTATGAAAATGGGCGTTCAAATGTGCGTACAAAATCGACCTTCTAGGCAAGCAATTACGAATGTCGTGCAGAAATTTGAGCGAAATGGGTCAGTACTCAACATCAAAACTCCCCAGCGTGTTCGTCCTGTCCGTTCAGAAGAAAATGTTGCCAACATTCGTGAAAGTGTTGCCCAAGAACCAAAAACTTCGATTCGTCGCCGATCACAGCAGTTAGGCCTTCGGTACACCTCAACGCAAAGAATTTTGGCGAAGGATTTGAATCTTCATCCTTATAAGGTCCAAATAACCCAAGAATTAAAGCCCAGAGACCATCTCCAGCGACGTATGTTTTGTGAGTGGATGCTTCAACACGAAGTCGATTTTTCGAGAAAAATAATCTTCAGTGATGAGGCTCATTTTAACCTCAATGGGTTTGTTAATAAACAAAACTGTCGAGTTTGGGGGTTACAAAACCCAAGAGAAGTTGTTGAGAAATGTAAACCATGAAGAAAATGCTGTAACAGTCAATGCCGTGCGTTATCGGAGCATGATTACTGATTTTCTTTGGCAAGAGTTGGAAGGAGTGGATATTGAAGAGGTCTGGTTCCAACAGGATGGAGCGACCTGTCATACAACCCGGGAAACAATCGATTTGTTACAGACCTGCTTTCCAGGACGGGTTATTTCGAGAAACGGCGATATTAATTGGCCGCCTTGATCTTGCGATCCAACCCCCTTAGATTTCTTTCTCTGGGGATATTTGAAGAATAAAGTTTACGTTAACATGCCCAATACAATTCCGGAACTGAAACAAGAAATACGACGGGAAATAGCTGCCATAGAGCCTGCGTTGTGTCGCAGAGTCGTTGAAAATTTTGACCAGCGCATTCGGTTTTGTCATTTGAGCCGTGGCGGCCATATGGCCGATGTTATCTTTTATACCTAATTGTACGATATTTAACGTTATTATTTAATAGAAAATTTCTCAGCTTTTAAAATATTTCGAGTTTTATTTTATTTTCTCATTGCCAAGCTCAAGTTGGATCACCCTTTACATTCCATTATCCTTAAATCATGAACTTCGTATATCCTTAAACATCCTTATATCCCTATATCCTTATATCCTAGTAAAAATGAATTAGCAGCTACTAATAATTCTCGTCAATAGCAATTTGTATCCCGAACATTTAGCAGTCAATTTCCATGTAAAATTGTCCCCTGAATCCAAAAATGTCGTCAAAAGTTATAAAAGCAGAACAGTTTTTGAGATTTAGTCAATTTTCTATATAATATAGAATTGACTATACATATATCAAAAACTGCTGTACTGACGGTATTTTCGGATTCAGGGAACAATTTTACATACATTTGACTAATTCCATTTTAGAGAGTATATCCTCATATATGACGAAATATATTTCGTCTTATTGTGCGACATAGTTTTAACATGTTGGAAACTAGGAAGTGTGCTTTGGAGGCTTACTATCCATTAGCCAGCTTCGATGTATACCAACAAAGGTGCAATTATTTCGCTTCTTTGCTATATGAAACCAATGAAGCACGGCGATGAGCGTGACAAAAAGAAATTTATGTCGTGTTTTCTAAATTTGTACCTAAATTTCAAGTTGCATTGTTAATTAAAATCAAACCCCTACTTTAAAAGCGATCGAAAATAAATTTTGAAATAATGATAAAATATTATTTCTACAATGTTACTTAACGTTACATATGTTAGTGTAATGTAACAAAAATCATTATGGCAATGTTTCTGCAACTTTGCAGCAAAGCCTTATGTCTAGCTTAGCAACATTTTATTTGAATTCTTATATTTGTTAATAAAATGTAACATTTTAAATGTTGCTAAAATGTTATATTAATTTGATTGTAATATTACTAAATGTTACTTTTGTAAGGTTTTCTTGCAAGGTTGGGCCCAACTTCCGGAAGTCTTAATTAAAAATATTTTTGAAACATTCCATAAACTCTGTTATAAATTTACAAAGTTATTTTAAAGTTGCATATAAATTAAAGCAAGTTGAAATGGTGTAAATCCACCCTTAGAACAAACACATCTAATAATTCTAGTAGAGTACAAAAATCGTATGTAGGAAACAGGACACTTCTGAGTCAGAAGTTCTGACGTGTAGACATTTGTGTTAAGCGCGGCTAGAGACGAGTACTAATATCGTCCCTTGTTAAAAACTTAAAATCTTAATGTAATATTGTAGATAAAACATTGCAGGAAACTTATATCTGTACTTTTATAATTAGAATGTTCAGGACTCTCACACTTTCTGCCCGTGTAGTGTATACTATTTTTTTTACTACCTCGCACAGAACTCGTCATTGTTCGTGAAGGTACCATGAATAGTGTACGTTATATCGAGGACATTTTATCTGAGCATGTTGTCCCTTTCGCCCCGTACTGTACGGGCCGAACATCGGTAATAATTTTTTACTGATGCAGGGTAACGCAAGACCTCACACCGCCCATATAGTACTTACATGAGGTGGGTGTTGAACTTAAGACTGGCCTGCAAATAGTCCGGATCTCAACGCCATTGAGCATTTTTGGGATAATATGGGAAGAGGACTAAGAAATCATGATACCTTGCCTGCCTGATGACGTAGCAAATATGCTACGAGAAATATGGAATATCATTGATCAAGGCGAGATTAGACATCTGGTTTCGAGTATGAGCCGTAATTAGCAGTAGAGGCGGAAATACGCGATATTGATATTCTTTAATGTTGGTTTTATTAATTTTGTTCATATTTTTATTGTTATTCGGCCATTTCAAGCGGATGGACGGGACAAATCACAAAACTGTTTTTATAAAAAAAATTGTAGCTAATTTATTATATATTATTTTTGAATCAAAATTGTCAAATATATTCTTCTATTATTAGGGTATACATTAAATAAAAAAAAATCGCAAGAAATATTTTATAAAAGTGGAGATAATTTCAATAATTGACAGGGATGGACGGGACAAGATAAATCTTTTTTTTGTCCCGTCCACACCTTTCAATTATTAAAATTATATCTACTTTCATAAAGTATTTCTTGAGTTTTTTTTTATTTAATGTATAACCTAATAAAAGAAGAATATTTTTGACAATTTTGATGCCAAAATATTATATAATAAATAATCTACAATTTTTTTTATAAAAACAGTTTTGTAATTCGTGCGTTTTGCGCGCTTGAAATGGCCGTATTGTTACAATCGTTCTTTTTATATTTTTTTATTAAACTGGAGTTCTTTAATATTTAACTGTATATTTCTTTTAAAAATAAAGAAAACGCGGTGAATTAAAAAACAAAATGTTAAGAGAAGATGGGGCTATAGTTTGATTATAAGAGACATATGCTGTTATAGCTGGTACAACCCACAGAGCGTTTCAAATTTACAGGAAAAAACTTATTATTACTCTTGCATCCTGTATATACTCAAAAAGTAAATTTAAAAAAATATTTTAATAAAGGAATCATAACCAAAGAATAAACCTACAATTTAAAACAAAACCTACCAAATTCGGTTTGACGGTTCGCGAGAAAATCAACTTTAAAATTGTGGCAAATTTTTAGTGGTGCGTTAAATTTGACGCGAAGTGTATATATGACAATTGCTCACTCGGACAATTTTTTTGAGGCGCCCCAAAAAAGTGCGGGCCCTAATCTACAGCTTGTGTAGCGTATACGTAAATCCGCGGTATACCGTGGGTGCTCCATTTTCCCGACACTCTGTAGTGTCTTTTGTAAATTTTTAGTTTAAAATTTTGTAACACCTAAAAGGTGTAACTAATAAAATTATTTAATTAATAAAAATACAAAATTGTATATTTTTTAATACATTGTTCAATTTTTCTTACTTTCTTATATTATAACGCATCGTAATACCATTGATCCTCACTCAACGTTAATACGATGATCATATAATTACAGACAAAATTGTTAATATGACCAAAGCTGTGCTATGGTTTGTTTTATTTATTTTATTAACTATATTTTTTAATAGTATATTGTGTATCAAGTTTGATAAACGCCATTTTAGTCTAGAGTTTTAATTAGGCACGAGCGAGATTGCAAGCGAGTGCACATGTTTAATAAAATTAGTCTATAGAAAAGTTTGTAATACTTTTCTAAAAACCATTAAAAATCAATTTTAATTTATTAGTAAGCATTTATAAAACAATTCATATTTTTTATAATTTAAACACTTTTACAAGACTTACTTATGTTAATTGTCTTGCAAACATGCAAATTTTATATTTTATAAGTGAATTCAAACAAGCTTTAGAACTATTAATTTAGACTTAACTCCACTGACGATTGGGTTTCCTGTTAATTAGTTAAAGTGTATTTAATCCATTAATTAAACTGTATTTTAATTAAAAAGGTGCGTATCACTATAATAAATAACCGAAACAACGACGCATCGAGACCGGCTAAATAAAAACTGATATAATTATAGAGTATATTTGTAGATGTAGTTTTTGATAGAACTTTCGAATAATCAAAACGTTTTCGCATGCGTCAGATTTATGCCAAAATGTTTTATATACACTGAGCTGTTTTTACTTCCCATTTTTTTAATATTAGAAAGAAAGGAAACCTCGCTACTTTTTGTTTCTGTATTTTATTTTTTGTATGTGCAAGTAGGTAAAACAAAGAAAATTAAAGTGCAAGCTTAGATTTAATGGTCAGTTTCAAAGTCTGTTTAGCTTCAGTCTTTTACCTTTTACCTAAAAATATGTTCTTTTTGTAAAAGCTTACTAATTAAGTTTAACACAATTTTTAATACCTAATAATAAAAAAGTAATTGTTTTATCTTCTTTTTTAGCAAAAAACAAATTGTAAACTCTTTATAGAAGAAAACTTTAATTGCTTAGTACCTATTGGTAAAATACAAATGAATACAATTTTAATAACTGTTTTACTAATGGATTGTAATTAAAAGTCTCAAAAAAATCATAAGTAGCCAAAAACCCTATTACTGACACAAATTCTAAATGTAAACCCTTTTATATTCCCTATTTATCTGATTGTTGCAACACGCAAACCTAACAGGCGATTAGGTAAATGTTTTATTTTAAAATAAAATGAATTGGTCAAAAATTACTAATTAACGATAAATTCAGAATATTTAACGAAAATATCAAGCATCTGATGGATACCTACCCATATGCTTGGGCTCCGTGGATAATGTTGTGTTCACGTAATATTAAATCACTCAAAAATTTAAGGGAAAAGGCGTATAAAAAGTTTTTAAGAACTAAAAATTGTGGTGATTTTCAGTATTATAAAGAATTACGTAACTTTACTCGTAATGCAATAGATAAAGAAAAAAAATCTGTTCTTAATGATCAGGCTAGAACCACTAGGAGTACACAACTTTGGAATTCCTTGCGCAAAATGGACGTGTTTTCTAGTAGTAATAGTCCAGTTCCTGCGCATTTATCTAATATTAATAATTTGAATAATTTTTTGAAGGTGGACATGGAATGTATTTTTGAAATAATTCGAAACCTTAAAAGTGATGCTAAAGGAGTGGATGACATTAGTCTCACAATTATTAAACTATATTGTAATTTTATTTTGCCATAAAAAATCAACAAGCTCCAAGTTTCGACCTATAAGTAAGCTTGGTATTTTATCAAAAACTTTTGAGAAAGTTATTGCCATAAAACTTAAGGATCATTTAAATACTTTTAATATACTTCCCCAAAATCAATCTGCTTTTAGGTTTGGACATATATGTATATATATATATATATATGTATATATATAGTTGTACACACTTAGTAAAGTCATTGATGACATAAATACTGCTATAGATAATGGTTTTTGAGAGCTATCTGAACTAGCGCAGGCAACAGGTAGTTTTGGGTTATACTCGTTCTGATTGCATTACTATTTATAAGTACCTCAAGGGTCAATTCTAGGGCCTTTATGATACATTATTTATACTTCTTGTTTTCCGGAAGTACTAGATCATTGCCTTTATCACTTTTACGCTGATGCTAGCCAGCATTACTTTTCTTTTAACATTAAGGATGAGCATTTTAATAATAAAATATCTTCTGATTTACAAAAGTTAATTGAAATATCCAATAGTCATAATGATAAGCTAATACCTAATGTTAATAAATCAACAATGATATTGTTTGGAAATCAAGCCAAAGTCAATCAGGTTAAAAATTTAGTGAACATTACAATTAATGGTGGCACTTTGGATATTGTAGATTGTGCCAAAAATCTAGGATTATTGTTAGACTCAAGATTAAACTTTTCTAGTCATGTTTCAAGTATGTTACAAAAGGCTTACTATATGGGGCAATCCATGCCAAATCACCGAGGTTTTGACCCGACCCCCTTCGATTTCGCTGAAACTTTTTTATCATTTTCTATCCTACCAAAGACATTTTTCTGAATTTTTTCAGATTTTTTTACCCAACCCAAAAAAAGTTACGAATTTTTGAAAAAAACCGCTCTTGTATTTTAAAATTGCAATAACTTTTTCACAAATTGACCTTTCGGCACGTTTTTTTTTTGAAATTTTTGTTTTTAAATGTAGTTTTCAGAAAAAAATACAAACAATTTTTCGGAAGTCACGATATATGAAATATTTCAGTTTTTTCAATAAAACCGTCATTTTTTCGAATTCTGAAACCTTCGATTCTCAATTTTTTTGTCTCAAAAAAAACTTCAACTAAGACAGTATTTAACCCCACTATTCCCATTTTGTGCCGACTTTCCATTCTATTGTTTTTTTTTCGATTGAAAATAAAGAAATTTCTCAATTTGGCTTATTTTTTATGACTTTGCGTTGAGGTTTTTTTTATTGTTTTTAAAAGCTCAGAAGTTGAATAAAATTGGATAAAAACAACCGTAAATTTTTTATTAAAGTATTGTTTTTACATCGTTAAAAATCTAAATATTTTAATTATTTTCCTCGGTTTAGCGATTGTTTTCTTGAATTCTTAACCGTACAATGTTGTGTCTTAAGGAATGAACTTATGTTAAAGAATGAACTTGCATTAAAGAAGGTACGGAAGGTTATGGTAATAAAAAAACATAAAGAAAGTACGAAAGGTTATGGTGGATGTTCAGTGACTGATGGTAATGAACTTGTGTTAAAGAATGAATTTGTGTTATTAAATTATAAAGAAAGACGATTAAAAAACACATTCATATATATGTTTTTTAAAGTAGGTATACTTGACGTTTCGTTGTTTTTTATTTAAAAGAGGTGGTAAAATAATAAAAATGTGAATTTTTTAAAAAATAACACTTTATAAACTAATGTTTTGATATTTTTTAAAACTGTGAATTAGACTATTTTGTTTCTTAAAAAGAGTTTACGTTTACGTACATTGTACGGTTAAGAATTCAAGAAAACAATCGCTAAACCGAGGAAAATAATTAAAATATTTAGATTTTTAACGATGTAAAAACAATACTTTAATAAAAAATTTACGGTTGTTTTTATCCAATTTTATTCAACTTCTGAGCTTTTAAAAACAATAAAAAAAACCTCAACGCAAAGTCATAAAAAATAAGCCAAATTGAGAAATTTCTTTATTTTCATTCGAAAAAAAAACAATAGAATGGAAAGTCGGCACAAAATGGGAATAGTGGGGTTAAATACTGTCTTAGTTGAAGTTTTTTTTGAGACAAAAAAATTGAGAATCGAAGGTTTCAGAATTCGAAAAAATGACGGTTTTATTGAAAAAACTGAAATATTTCATATATCGTGACTTCCGAAAAATTGTTTGTATTTTTTTATAAAAACTACATTTAAAAACAAAAATTTCAAAAAAAAAAACGTGCCGAAAGGTCAATTTGTAAAAAAGTTATTGCAATTTTAAAATACAAGAGCGGTTTTTTTCAAAAATTCGTAACTTTTTTTGGGTTGGGTAAAAAAATCTGAAAAAATTCAGAAAAATGTCTTTGGTAGGATAGAAAATGATAAAAAAGTTTCAGCGAAATCGAAGGGGGTCGGGTCAAAACCTTGGTGATTTGGCATGGATTGCCCCATATGCTATATGCTAATCGACATATTTTTACCCAAAACTTCAAGAAAGTTTTGAGTGACTCTCTTATACTTTCAAACTTTAATTATTGCGATTCTGTCTATGATACGTACTTAAGTGAAGTTGACAAAAGAAGAATACAAATAATGCAAAATTCATGTCTCCGCCTCATTTATGTCATATCTAAGACAATCAGGCTGGCTTAACATGTCTAATCGAAGAAAATTACATAAGCTTTGTTTTTACCATAAAATTATTAAAAATAAGTCCCCACCTTATCTTTACAATAAAATTAGGTTTAGAGCAGCGCCGTAGCTACAATGGTTCCGTGGGTTCGGTGGAACCAGGCCCGAGAGCTCAAGGGGCCCGTGGCAAGCGGTTGGAATAATTTTTTTTTGAAAATATTTAGATTATTTTTTTTTAAATAAATTGCAACATTTATATGGCATTCATTTATAATAATGACTTAAGGCTTAGTAATTAATAAAAGACCACCAATAATAATAATAATTTTTGCTTGAATCATGTAAAAGCGAGTAAAAATTAAAACTTAAAAAACTACCAACAACCCGTTGGTCTTCACGCAATGATGCAATAAAAGCCATTCGTTTTAGGTATCTTGATGTTCTTAAGGCCTTGTCAAAAATTATTTTAACATCTTATAATAAGGCTGAAATAAACTCAAAAAGATTTAAAAGTACATTGGAGGACTTTGAAACAGTGTTTTTGATTATTTTACAATCTAAAATTTTAAATAGCATAGACACAGTATCAAAACTCTTACGAAATTAGCAGCAAGATATCCAAAAATCTAGTAAAAAGTGTCAAATGATATAGGTAAGCAAACTTAGGAATGAATTTTTTGATATAAAAAGAGAGGCCAATATTACGGCAAGTAAATGGGGTATAATTCCAGAATTTTGCCAAAAACGTATTCGCAAACGCATGAAGTTGCAAATGACTTTGTTTTTTAAACAGCATGCTGAAGATATTTTTAGAGTTGAAGTTTTTTTAAGACCCTAATTGAGCGATTCTATTGAGTTTATATTACAGGAAAATCAGTGTTTTAAAGAAATAAATGGGATTCATTACAATTTAAAATTGTTTATATTGCATCAGTGCAGAACTAGAAATACACACGGTAAAATTTCTATATTAGGCGAAATCCTTTGGAATTATAATCCTTGCTTAACTACAGGTCGATTTTTTATTTCTTTTATCGGTAATCCCTTGCAATCGCTATATGTCGCTGCTAACATGTGTCTAATTAAAATAAAATAAAATATTGAGTTAATTTTATACAGAAAATAAACTGTCAGACAAAGTTAACCGCAACCAGGGGGTAACTTTGCACTGCACAATTTTTTTGAAACTCAGCCCCCCGTAATATTATAACATAGTTATTATGAAAGA